ATCATCGATTAATTTGATATTGGATGCATTAACATCACCAACAAAATTAAATTGTTGGGAAGAGTCAATAAGCACTTATTGTTGAGAAGAATCCAAGGTATAAAACTCTCTTAATGATGTGATCTGACCAAATTATAACATAAAAAAATGAGATTATGAGTATACAATTATGATGCTATGGAAGAAGTATTCTCAAACTCTAAGCCAAGCAAATTGAAGGAATTATTCTCATACTCAAAGCCTTTAATTCTTAAGGATTGAACATAAATCCCATAAACAGAGAAAAAGAAACTCATAACTATCTTTATTTCTTGATATGATATTTATCATAATAAATTGAGCCAAAAATTTTTGAAAAAAGAGGATGCTTGCAAAATTTCATACATAATATGATCTTTAATAGCATCATGTAACAAAATGGAGAGTAACATATATTATTGCATAACTTCATAATAAAAATAACAAGTTTGCACTCAAGAACACTAAACCGCAAAAAGTAAAATCACCTAAAGTTTCAAAGAGAAGAAGACATAACTTCAAAGAAAAAAAGAAAATATAACCCAAAACCACACTAAATGTCAATAGCATAATCCTCATAATCTTCATAATCCTATTGTTATACCTTCATTTACTTTCGAAAATATGGCTCTCCTTGAGCTCTCCTATAGTGGCCAAGCCTACTAAGTGCTTTAGGTTTGGACCACTATATGAAACTTCAAGTTGAGCACAAAAGAGTTTAGAATTTCTAATGGTGGGGTTCCTTCCCTAGTTTTCTAGGAATAGTCAATAGAAAAGTCCTATGACTAGACCTCAACCAAAAGTGAGGTCAACAACACAACCATCAAATTAAACCCATAAATTTCTTCACACTGCTAAGTTAGGATTAAGAAACACGTACCTTTATTTTACAACATGAAAGAGTTGTAGAAAAAGATAAACTATAGAAAATTAAGGCAACAAGCAACAGACAACAAGTAAAAGGCAAGAGAAGAAATTTCAAAATAGAGATGGATGAGATTCGTGGGAACCAGCATGTCTAAATAGACCAAAACACTTTGAAATTCTCGCTTCCCCATTTCTACTATTGGCGACACACCTGCTCAGGCCCTAACATCATTGAACTACCAATGAGGAAATGTCTACTAATCGAGGCAGGAGAGGGATAAAGGTATAGGGACAAGGCAAGCCACTGAGCCAGGAAGCCAGTGACAAATTACAAGTGGAGTGGAGCGAAATGGGGTGAGCGGCGTAGATGCAGTGCCACGGTAAAGTTGTAGACTGCCCTAGGATAGAGATAAAAATCTCTAAGTAAATACCACTTCTGTTATATACTTTAGCAATGGTGGACGTATTAAACCTGAAAAATAAGCCATTCTCCGATTATTCGGTCAGTTCGTGTTAATTCTTAGGACCCAAGCCTTAACCTAAAAACCAAATAAGCTTAATTTATACACCGTAAACTGAATTGTTGATGTTAAAACCAGACTAAACTATTATAATGGTTTGGTTCGTTTCGATTTATTGGATTTAATTAGATAGTGCACACCCCTACATTTAGGTGATTTGTTTGAACTACTGAACCAATGTATTCACGTGAGGAAGGAATGAACTATTGAGAATTTAATAATAATGACAAATATGAGTTGGTAGTTTACGAATAAGTTTGATACTTGAGTAAGACCCTCAGAAAAGGATGAAACAAGGTGATTAATTTGTAAATAGCAAGTTTCGTGTGGTTTATACCTGAAACATTGTTATTTATAAATCTAGCACTCACTTACATCTAATTTTCAAATTCTCAATCAAATATCAAAATTTAGGATAAAATCCCAACCTGCATTTTTCATTTTTATTAAATTCTCAATTGTTTGATCGGGGCACGCGTAAATACATAAGTTTAGTACCTCAAAATTATCATGGGTGTTAGATTTTTTATACATTAATGTTTTTGGGTGTTATTTTTGTAATTGAAAAGATTAAATTAGAGAATGCATCTAATATTTTTCTCTTAAGAAAATATCTATGATAATTCATTGCAGATCAAAATATTCTTCACGTTCAAACATAATATACTCCTAAAAATGCTATGCACAAATCGCGAGATAATATTACGGTCCAGATAATTTGATAGTTGACGAAAGGTGTCAAAAATTGGTTATGACTATAAAAAAGCATCATAAAATATGTAACTTTCCTATTAAAGCACAACATTAATAAAAAAAATAGCATAATAATCTTTAACTACTCAATTAAACTAGGGGCAAATATTTAATTTTAAACTTGCTCCCTCTTTTTGATATAAATAGGGAGTGCATAGCATGCAGAACGAGTTCTCTCTTGATTTTTCTCATGTAGAGAGAACTCTCTTCCCCCTCAATATAACTGTTATTTTTGATATATAAAATGAGTTAAAGAGCCCGGGAATATCCTCGTTTGTCTCTATGTGGCAAGTATATGTATGCTATTTTATTTCGTTCCCTTATTTGTCTCTTTTTTTCTCTTAAGGTCCCCACCACTACTATCAATAAATGGAATGACAGTAATGAGCGTAGAGCATGCTAAAGATATTTTGATTCAACAACCCAAAAGGTGTACCTTTTGGGCTGTTGAATCAAAATTTGTCTTATGAGGCATGCCAAAAGGTGCGTTGAGCGTGGAGCATGCTACTATCAATAAATAGAACGACACTAATGATGAGAAAAACATCTCAAAGTCACTCCCAACAAGGAACACATTAAGAAGTTCATGCACAATATATCTGGAGTTTGAAAATGTCATTTTTGTTATCTTCTTATAGGCTTTAGTTAAGAGCCGAGCCCTGCAAAACAGATGGTTGGCTCTCGATGGGTGAAATAAGCTGACTAATTGTTCTGTTTTAGTGCGCGGTTAATTTCGAACGACTGACACCTCATCCAATAAATAAATGGAGTGTTACTTCACGACTTACCTTGTGCTTTGACACAAATTTCTCTAATATTTTCTTAGGTTTAACTGACACTTGGGGAACTCGGTTACGAGTGAGTGGGCAAGATTTTAACAATAAAAGACTCTCATTTAGGCGAGTAAACCAAAAACTCCCTTCCAAGGCAAGAAAACATAAGTCTTCCTCTTGGAGCGAGAAAAACAACTCCCCTTCAAGGGCGAGTAAAAAAAAGGACTCTCTTCCAAGGCGACAAAAAAAGACTCCCCTCTCCCCTCTGGAGTGAGTAAGAAAAAAATCTCCTCCAAGGCGAGTAAAAAAAACAAATCTCTTTTGAGGGTGAGTAAGCAAATGACTCCCCTACGAGGCAAGCAAACAAAAAAACTCCTCCTGGGTGAGAAAAAAAATTACCTCTGGGGCGAGCAAACAAAAAATTCTCCTTCAGGGTGAGAAACAAAAAACTCCCATCAGAGGAAAGTAAAAAAATTCTCCGGGGCGAGCAAATAAAAAACTCTCATTCGAGGAAAGTAAAAAAAAATTCTTTTAGGATAAACAAACAAAAAAATTGCCTCTGGGGCGAGCAAAAAAGACTTCTCTTTGAGGTAAGCAAATAAAGATTCCTCTTCGGGGTGAGCAAACGACAAATTTTGGGGTGAGCGAGCCCCAACGGTCAGATCTAGCAAATGGGATGGGCGAAGACCAATACTTGACATGGATAATATCACAATCGATGATTTTCCTATGAGCATGGTCGCTAGTCAACACAAACAACCAAATTAACTCAAACAAATATTAACCATAACACCGACCAAAGAGTCAATTTAGGGGAAAATACTTTTGAATCAGCAAGATAGCACAAAAGATGCCAGAACGAAGCGCATCGAGTGCTTAAACAAGGAGTATCATCAGTGATTCAAGTAATCATGCTTTTTGGTTTAAAATTTTTTTGTCTTTATCACAGCTCTCGCTATCAAGGAGCAAGAAAATCGAGGAACTTAATATGCACACCCAAAAATGGTTTGTACAAATGACACAGTCTAATTTTCCAAAAAAATGATGATAATAAATCAATTATGACTATGAAAAAATCCATAAATACATGTAACTCTCCTATTAAAGAAAGACATTAATGAAAATACCATACATACTTGTAACTCTCATATTAAAGCAAGACATTAATAACAAAATCCTAATAATATGTAAATCCCCCCATTAAAATAGAGGCAAATATGTAATTTTAGACTTGATTGCTCTTTTTGCTATAAAAAGGGATTCTATAGCATGTAGAAAGGGGGCTCTTCTTTGCTAACTTTTCTCGTGTAAAAAGAACTGTTTCCCCTTGTAAACGTAACTGCTATTTTTGATATATAAAAGAGGTCAAAGAGTCCGGGAACATCACAGTCGCCTCTGCAGGCAAGTTTATGCATGCTATTTAATTTTTTTTCTCTTCTGTCTATTTTTTTTCCCTTAAGGTCCTCACCGCTCTGATTCTTGGGCATGCATCACATGAAAACTTTGGATTCAACAATGGTTTAAACTTCAACTTTTACATGTATGCCAACTTAATTACCTATGCATGAAAAGGTGTATTTCAAAAAGTTTCATATTTTTATGTGATAAAATGATTTTGGTGAAAAAATATAAAAATCAAAGTTTAGGTGTTAGATATAAAGAATTGGGCGGCATGTATGTAAATGCCCCAAAATAAAATATACCACATAGCTAACTCTAATTTATTTACATATTCCATAGCTAAATTTTCATTTTTTGCATGCATATTCCTTTTTACATGCATGACACAATTATTCAATATTACATAGAATATAAGACTAACTAGCTTCATAAAGTGTAAGGTTTCTTTTCAATTCATGACACTAATGTGCTATAAATAAAAATATCAAATTTTAGGTCTTAGCTATGTACATACATAAAAGTTATGTGGCATGCATGCAAACTTCCCAAAGGATAAAAAGATACCCTCTTCCAATAATATCATTAAATGATTGAAAAAAATGCATCCAAAGCCCAAAAAATCCCACCATGCTCATCACCAAACTCTCACAGCCCCTTTCCTCTTTTCTCCACAACATCCTAATGGCTTCATCCTTCTCCTCCATTGCTACACTATTATTACCCCTTCTCATCCTCACAACACACCTTCCACTCTCAACACAAGCTGACCTCCTTCCGGCGATCGCCGGCGACGGCCAAAGCCATGTCACCTACATTGTACACGTTGAGAGGCCGGAAAACACCAGTCTTTTATTCGATGACGAGTGGCTGACGAGCTATCACCTCTCCTTCCTACCTAACACCACTCTGGACTCCGGCGAGGCGAGGCTTATATATTCCTACCGCGAGGCGATAAGCGGCTTCGCGGCGAGGTTGACGTCGGAAGAAGCTGAAAACATGCTATCTGCTGAGGGATTCTTACTTGCTTATACTGATCGCCGGCGAAGTCTGCTCACCACACATACGCCGGAGTTCCTCGGCCTGAGCAGGGGCGGTGGATTCTGGTACGGATTCTTTTTTTTTTTTTTTTTTGGAGAAAAAAATTGAGTTTTTCTTTAATTTTATTAGGGGGCATTTTTATACATATCTTCCAATCTATTTATTTAGATATCAGCATCTAAATTTATTTTTTATATTTATGATTTATACCACCCAAATCTTTTATATCAAAATTTAATTAAAATATTTTCTATTTCGATCTGATCATGATCGAAACCAAAATTTGAATCAATTTTTGAGCGGTTAACGATCTTCTAGTTGAATGTGCTAAATTCATAACCCTAACAACATTACTGTTGCAACGATCTGATTTTGAGCCGAGTTGGGTGGGCTTGAAAAAAATTCGATCCAAAATTTCGCCCAAACCAAAATTTGAATCAAGTTTCGAGTAGTTAACGATCTTCTAGTTGAATGCGCTAAATTCATGACCCTAACAACATTACTGTTGTCAACGATCTGATTTTGAGCCGAGTTAGGTGGGCTTGAAAAAAATTCGATCCAAAATTTCGCCTTATTTATTTCGATCTGATCTCAATAAATTTTTGAGTGATTAACGATCTTCGAGCTAAATTCATAGCCCCAAGTAAAATATAGGGCTATCAAAACGGCTCGTTGTTCGCGAATAGCTTGTGTTCGACTCGTTAAGAAGCTCGTGTTTGACTCGTTAATTTCGTTCGATAAGTTAGTGAGCCGAACACGAACAAAGATGTGTCCGTTCGTGTTCGGCTCCTTTTGGCTCGAAATATACTCATCAAGGTTATATATATATA